CGTAATCATTTCACATTTAATCGTGCATTAAAATACCAGAGTGAGTATGAAGTTTAATTATATTTGTTCATAACGTTTGGTGTATCAGGATAGAGAATTAATCGTAATCATTTAATCGTGCATTAAATTACCAGTGTGAGTATGAAGTTTAATTATATTTGTTCTTACCGTTGGTGTATCAGGATAGAGGATTAATTACAATCATTTAATCGTGCATTAAATTACCAGGGTGAGTATGAAGTTTAATTATATTTGTTCTTAACGTTGGTGTATCAGGATAGAGTATTAATCGCAATCATTTAATCGTGCATTAACTTACCAGTGTGAGTATGAAGTTTAATTATATTTGTTAACGTTGGTGTATCAGGATAGAGGATTAATCGCAATCATTTAATCGTGCATTAAATTACCAGAGTGAGTATGAAGTTTTATCATATTTGTTAACGTTGGTGTATCAGGATAAAGGATTAATCACAATCATTTAATCGTGCATTAAATTACCAGTGTGAGTATGAAGTTTAATTATATTTGTTCTTAACATGTTAACATTGATGTATCAGGATAGAGAATTAATCGAAATTATTTAATCGTGCATTAAATTCCCAGTCATAATAAATAATAAAAAAGTTAAACAAATAAATAAAAATAAATAAAAATAAATAAAAATTAAAAATTAAAAAAAAATTAAAAATAAATAAAAATAAAAAATAAAAAAAATTCAGTGAGTATAAAGTTTAATAATGTTGGAATATTAAAAGAATAGAGAATTAACCGTGATCATTTATCATGCATTAAATTACCAGCGTGAGTATGAAGTTTAATTCTATTTATTTTTAATTTCGGTGTATTATGAGGATGAGGATTAACAGTAATCATTTATTTGATATTAGCACCTTATTTTAAGACGAATCTATTTGTAACAGGCGGTTATGTAACAGTTTACTAGTTACGACCAATAAAATATGTGCAATCAAATTCTAAACTAAAAATGATTGGCCAACTGCTAGACTGTTACATGCACCAACTGTTACGAATATATTTTTTCTCATTTAATTCTTATGTATAAGATTTTTTTCTTATTTTAACAAGTTATTTTTTTATATTTTAATTATGTTATAAATTTTTTAAAGTTTTATATTTTATTTATTTGATAATTAAGAATTTTATATTTTTAGCAATATTTTTATTTAGTTAGCAGATTATATGCTGTATTGTGAAAAAAATGTTTTTATACATAGCGCTGTAGTATGATGCATTGCTATCTTAATTAACTAACAAGATTTTTCCGTATAAAATCTACTTTTCACTATATTTTCAAATTGGCTTTGATTTGCTTTCAATTAAATTGTGATTAACATGTTTTGATATGTTATATAGATAATTCTCAATATATGTTATCAAAAATATATATAAGTAGTTTTTGATAAGATTTATAAAGCCATGTATTTGGTTTTGTCTTTTTGAATTTTTATTAGAAACTATCTTTTAAAGAAAATTAATAAAAATTTGCAAATTGTCTAAAACAAATCAATTTTATTATTCCAAATCTTTCACATACATCATCTTACACTAAAACAATAATCCTTGTATATTAATAATCATATTATAGAACCTAAAGTTTTTCAATAATGATAGAACTAGCACCACCACCACCATTACAAATAGATGCAGCACCAATTTGACCAGACTTTAATAAGTGTGTCAAAGTAACAATTATCCTAGAACCTGAAGAACCAATTGGATGACCTAATGCCACTGCACCACCAGCAATATTTACTTTACCAGGATCTAAACCTAAAATCTTTTCATTTGCGCGTATAACTACACTAAACGCCTCATTAAATTCAAATAAGCTAATATCCGAGATTCCAAGGCCAGCTTTTTTCAAAGCAATTGGAAGTGAATGTGATGGGGCAATTGGAAAATCAAATGGTTCAACTGCAGCATCACCATATGCTAAATCCAATATAAACATGTTTATATTTAGAGAAACATGAATAGAACATGAGTAATATAAAAATATAAAATAACTACTTACAAAGAATTCGAGCCAATGGTTTGATACCAAGTTCTTCAGCTTTTACACGTGTCATAAGCACCAAGGCACTAGCACCATCATTAATCGTCGATGAATTAGCTGCTGTTACAGTTCCTGTGAAGGGTATATCATTTACAAAATATATATTAATTAAATGTATTCTTAATAAAATGAGAAATAGATCACTCACCGCCATTAGGGTCAAAAACAGGTTTTAACTCAGGAATCTTGTCAAATTTAACATTCTTATATTCCTCGTCTTCATCGACAATTATTTCTTTTTTACGATCTTTGATTGTTACGGGAATAACCTCAGCTTTAAAAACTCCGCTCTAATTTTAAGTTACAATGACAAAATATATTTTTTTTATTAGAAACTAAAACTATAAGAATTATTAATATATAGCGGTTGATGCTGAGAATTGATTTTAATAAGAAATTTAAAAAATTTTAAAAATTTTCGGGAGCATTTTTTTTTTTTAGAGTTAGGATTTAGGATTAGAGTATTAAAAAAGAGTATATGTAGATTTCAGTAAATTTAGTAGGTTTAATAGGTTTAGTAGAGTTAATAGAGACTCAAATCTTAGCATCAGCCGATCTTAGCCGCGACAATATATAATACCTTCCAAGCTTCAGCAGCACGCCTATATGACTCAGCGGCATGCATATCTTGAACCTCTCTCGATATGTCATAATTTTTTGCAGTATTTTCTGCACAATTGCCCTATTATTCGAAAACTCAACTTTAGTCAAAAGAACATTGTATCCGTTATAAAAAAAAAAAAAAAAACTTGGGAAGGCGCTTACTATACCATACTAATATATAAACATTGTTAATTATTGTCTTGAACTACATTGAGGTATCTTGAAGCATCATGTGGACACAATAATACGTACTGTATTTGACCATAGACATCCCATAAACCGTCTTTAATTATTCCATCTGCTAAAATTTGATGACCATACACGGCATTTCTCGGTGAATAGTATCTACAAGATCAATTATAAACTGTAAAGCATAATTTTCGGGAAAAGCGAAAAATTTATTAAAATTACTTACGGAGTATTAGACATACTTTCCATACCACCAGCAATCATTATCGATCTATCACCAAGTGCTAAATTTTGAGCAGCTAATATAACAGCTTTCATACCAGAAGCACAAACTTTATTAATTGTTGTTGCTTCTGTTGAGCGTGGGCAACCTAATTTGACATCATGTAGTTAGAAACAAAGATAAATAATCAACTTAGTGACATTGTAAAGTACCTGCTTTAAGAGCGACTTGACGTGCTGGAGATTGGCCAAGGTTCGCTTGAAGAACATTACCAAAATATACTTCTTCGATCTGTTCAGGTTTCAAGCCTATACATTTTTTTTTAAAAAAATAAATAAATAAAGTTTGAATCTAATTTTTAATTTCCAAGGAAAGTAAAAGAACACCAAATTATTAACACAAACCAGCTTTTTCAATTGCACCTGCAGCAGCAGCGGCACCGAGTTCTGTAGCAGTTAATTTTTTTAATGATCCATTAAAACTACCGACTGGCGTTCTCGCTGCTGATACTATCACAACTTGCTATAAGAAAGTTATTACTTAATACATAATTTTCTTAAGTATACTCAATGATATCAATGATCTGAAAATAATTCTTTACATTAACGCTATTAGCTGTGGAATAGCCCCGAGAAAGCTAAAAAAAAAAAAAAAAAAAAAAAAAAAAAAAAAAAAAAATTAAAAAAAAAAAAAAAAAAAAAAAAAAAAAAAAAAAA